TGGAAGCTTTTAGAACATCAACTGAAAACAGCTTTTCCAGCAGTGTCAGGGCCATCATGTTCCTGTTGGTACTGCAGTTTGAAATGCTCTACAAGGTTTCTTTGTGTAAGGTGATCCTATAAATGGGGTCACCAACAAACAAATTTCCTTGGTTGCTGCAAATCATCTGTACATTTGAACAGCCTTAATAAGGAAAAAGAGCAAACGAAAGTTATTAGGATAAAAAAGATGTTGTCAGTACATTACAATTCAGCTGTCTATACTGGAATGACCACTCTGGTGGTATTGAAATTAAGCTGTTGTTTCTTTTCAGGCAAAAAGTGTTGCAAAAACTCTGTCATGGCTTATGTTCAAATTTATCAGGTGACATTTATCCTATACCAAGGATTACAAGTCACTTTGTTAAGACCCCAGTTGCCAACAAATAAATTGGATAGCCAACTCTAGTAATGCCTCAATATGAGAAGATAAACAGAGTACCACAAAATCTGTTCCAAGACGGCAACCACAGAAACAGTTGAACAAGATAAAAAGAAACTTGTCATCAAATTCACATGACTCAGCCTTGCACTTGGATAAATGGCAGTATAATTTTTTCACACTTACAATGTCTTTAACAGCTGCATTAAAATTCCTTTTTCGGCTGCTGCACCACTTGTCCCTCTTTTGGGTGCTTGATGGTCCTCTGCATATCTTATGTGCTGAAGGTGAAGCAATATCAATTACTGCTGTGGTAGCTGGGGGTGTTTGTGGATGCCAAATTGCTTCATGGGTTGGAGAGTTCATAGCTGGTTCTAATTCTTTTAGTGGCAGAGACCTCTCACCCTTGCTTTTGTTCTCCTGTTCTCCTAAATAACAAATGGGTAAAAATTAATGTTAGTTGCAATTATAACTGTAAAATCCTGATTGCAAGCTCTGAGTTTGGGCCAGGGCTTACAAAAAGAGTGCTCTCATACCCTTGGGTGGGCAGTGGGGACCTGTAGTTTGTATAAAAAATGTTTGGAATGAACTAATAACAAAAACAGTGGCATTAACTGACTCTGCAATGCTCTGTATAGGGGGGTGTTCGGTATTTGCCCCTCCAAACAAAATTTATCAGGGGCGAATGACGTCATGTCCATTCTACGATGGCCCACAAGGTTCACACTTTTATTATTTTTTTGAACAGTTTCCATTTAAATTTTTGTTGTCCCATTAAAAATTTCGATTGTTTTATATTTTTTGGCGCAAGTTTTAAAGAAAAAAGTTAAGTTGTTTAGAAAAAAAAATTATGTTGTTTTGCAAAAAAAAAATCAGACACTTTCCAATTTATTTTTAAGGCTGACCTGTTTGAGTGCAGGCTCATACTTAATCATCCGCCATCTTCCGCCATCTTGGATCTTTGGGGTTCTTGACTTTGCCAGCACGAAAATGTCATCCCAAACAAATTATTTCATACTATTTCCCCAGTGGATATACCTATTTGGAGATTTGTGAATTTCTCAAACTTCATAGTATATTCATGAGTTTATCCACTTTGAAAAGGAGGCTGAAAGATCTAAGATTGACCAGAAAGGATACAAATATCGTCAGTGATGACGAGTTAAAAATGGCTGTCGATGAGGAAATAGCGGGAAGTGGTTGCTTATTGTGGTCAAAGGGAAAAGAGTCATGGTAATGTTGAAACAACTCGATCTTGAAGGTGTGGAAAGCAAAACCAAAAAAAAGACTGCGTAGGCGGCTGTATCATGCTTGAGGACCCAATTACATATGGCACATGGATGGCCACGACAAGTTAAGCCTTACGGGTTCAGTATACATGGATGCATAGACGAATTTTCTAGAAAACTTATCTGGCTTGAAGTTAGCCCTTCAAATAAAAAGCCTGAAATCATTGCAAAATTTTATCTCGATGCTGTTCAGGAACTGGGAGGTGTACCTGAAAGGGTGAGGTCAGATGGTGGAACAGAGAATGCTGTTGTTGAAGCCATACACACATTCCTAAGATCAACACATGGAAACACCACTGGCCTTGGTTCATTTCTCATTGGCAGATCAACATCAAATCAACGCATTGAAGCATATTGGTCTCAGCTTGTTAAAGATGGACCTGGATGGTGGATGAATTTTTTTAAAGATATGACAGACATGGGACTCTTTAACAGCTCTGATCCTGCTCATAATGATTGTATGAGGTTTTGCTTCAAGGATATCTTAAGGAAAGAGTTATGAAGTTTGTGAATTGTGGAATGAGCATATCATCTCTTCCACTAAAGTTGGGAATGTTAATTTTCCCAAAGGAAGACCAGACACTATGTACTTTCTACCCCACTTGTATGACACCAAGGACTACAAAAGGATAACAAATCAAGATGATGTTCAAGAGTTTATTAACAATGCAACAATGTCCAAAGATGATTACAGCAAAGAGTTTGAGGAATTTGCCACCTTCATCATGACTGAACGCAACATTCTAAAACCAAACAATGTTAAAGAGTTACTTGATCTGTACGTAACCCTT